GATATTTGAGTTCTTCTTGTTGTGCCATTCAGTGTCAATCTCTGTCCAAAAATCCATCAAAAAATCTCGCTTTTTTTTTGGTGAATGGGGAATGTTTTTGGTGCGGTAAAAAGAGAAGAGAAATGACCGAAAACGGAATTTTTTTTCTCTTTCCAATTTTTAGATAAGGGATCCTTGAGGAAAACATATTAAAATATCCATCTATATTCAACATGAATTAGTTCCTTTATAGTTCCTATTTAGGTTCTATTTAGGTTCTATTTAGTTCCTATATAGTTCCTTTATGGTTCCTATCTAATCGGTTGATGCAAAAGTCTTTTCGTTTTTTTCGTACTTCTGTTAAAAAGTAACAAATTCACCAATTAATCTATAGTTTGCTCTATAAAAAAAGTGTTTTTTTTGTTCAATTTGCATCTTTTTAAATGAATTTCGGTTCACTTTCAAGCAAATTCGAAGCAATTTCATGCTGTCATGGGCGTCATAGCTGATCTGAACCATGCTGCCATAGCGTCATAGCTGGTTAAGAGTCTTGGCTTCTAATCGAGAGGATCGATGAGCGATCGGGTTCGATCCCGGGCAGGTAAGAGTAATCTCTTTTTACAATCTTTGCAATAATCTTTGTAACAATTGTACAAGAATCTTTTCAACAATTGTACAACAATCTTTGTAATAATCTTGGAATTGTTTGATTTGTTTCATAACTAAATACTAAATACTAAATACAGAACTAAATAGGAACTATACAGTGACCAAATAGGAACTAGATAGGAGTGAAAAACGCCTTTTTCGTAAAAATCTATAAAAAACTCTACGGAAAAATTGGCTGAATGAATTTCTCTGAAATTTTGGCGAAATATCAAACGTTTTTTTTCTCTATCTTTTATCTATTGACACGAAGATAGGTTTTCTTTAGCTAAGGTGTCTAAACCGCATCATCGAGTTAGCCCTTTTTGACTACCCGACTTCATACTCTCAAGAAAATCCAGGCATTAAATATTTTTAAACCCGTTTTAATGTTATTTTGCAGAAAAATAATTGCTTTTTCTAATGAAATCAACCGTAGTTTAATTCGTGCATTTGTTGGCTTGAAACGGCAGACGAAAAGGAACAAAAACACTTATGCATCAACCTAATAGTTCCTATTTACCGTATTTACTCTATTAGTGGGGTCCCCCACTATTTTTTCAATCCCCTTCCAGACGACCCCACTATTAGAGAAATTTAAAAGAACATAAAACCAAAGTTTTAAGTTGAAAAGATATCAATTTTTCTCCGAAATTCTTGAAAAAACAAGTTTGGCTTCATATTTTATTTAGCTTTAACCGTAACAAAACATTAACAAACAGTAAAAGAACTAATCCAAGAGATCAACAATTGATGTATCACTTTCGTTACCAATATTAGAGAGGACCCCACTATTTTTTCAACCCCCCTCCAGACGACCCCACTATTAGAGAGGACCCCACTAATAGAGTAAATACGGTAGTTCCTTTATAGTTCCTATCTAGTTCCTATTTGGTCACTGTATAGTTCCTATTTAGTTCTGTATTTAGTATTTAGTATTTAGTTATGAAACAAATCAAACAATTCCAAGATTATTGCAAAGATTGTTGTACAATTGTTGAAAAGATTCTTGTACAATTGTTACAAAGATTCTTGGTACAATTGTTGTAAAGATTCTTGTACAATTGTTACATTGCAAAGATTGTAAAAAGAGTCGAGCCTCTTACCTGCCCGGGATCGAACCCGATCGCTCATCGATCCTCTCGATTAGAAGCCAAGACTCTTAACCAGCTATGACGCTATGGCAGCATGGTTCAGATCAGCTATGACGCCCATGACAGCAGGCTTTAGAAAAGCTTGAAATATGAAATAGCTTGATAATTCTGAAGTTTTTGAATTTGTTCAAGATAGGTTCAAGATAGGTTCAAAACAACTTCTGAAGGTCAAAAGTTATGTTTTAACTTCAAATAACTCTTTGAAGAGATTTCTTTGCCATTTTGACAACAAATTTGGCAAAACAAATGCTTTTAAACGGTTATTTTGTCAAATTTGATACGATAAATGTTGTAAAATTTGAAAATTCATCCAATTCATCCAATTCATCCAATTCATCCAAATTTCAATAATTTATTTCAATTCCCCAATTTCTTGCTAACAATAAACCGAGCTTGAATTCAAGAATTACCCTTTTTAATGTCTTTAAAATGCCTTTAATCTCTTTAAAATGTCTTTAATGTCTTTAAAATGTCTTTAAAATGCCTTTAATGTCTTTAAAATGTTTTTAATCTCTTTAAAATGCCTTTAATCTCTTTAAAAAGTAAAGCTCGTAAGTAAAGCTCTAACGGATCTACTTTAGAGACAAAAAGTGTCAAAAAAACCCATTCTAGACACTCAATCTTTAAATTTTCCCATTAGAAAATGAATAATGAATTGACAAAACTGAATTAACAATTAACTTTACCAAAAAACAAGTCTACTTTAGTGTCAATGAAGAATTAAGTGCGCTAGAAACAAGGTTTTAAAGTTTTTAAACGCAGAAATAGACAAATGAACTAAAAAAAAACAGAAATAGACAAATGAACTCTATTCAATTTTACCCCCCATAAGTGTATTATCGTAGATATTCTAATAGAAACAAGATCTAATAGAAGCCCTCTATAGAAGTGTCGCGTAGTCTAAGTTTACTCTCAAACAAATGCTCATATCTCAGCACCAATACGTTAGTTTCTGCTCGCTTAGATATCAAATTAAAGTAGAGAAGATGGTGATTGTTTTGTGATATAACACTTATTTTTAGCATTAACCAGCGCTTAGAAAAAAAAGATTGAAAAATCATGAAAAATCGGCTTTTTGGCCATGATGAAAAATTCGCTTTTTTGGCCACTTTTCAATCTTTTTTTTCTAAGCGCTGGTTAATGCTAGGAACTTGTGTTATATACCAAAAAAACACCCATTTTTTTTCTACTTTAATTTAATACAAAAGCGCGCAAAAAGAAACGTACTGGTGCTGAGTTATGAGTGTTTGCTTTCATCAATAAAAAAGCCGATTTTTCATCATTTTTCAACCATTTTTTTCTAAGCGCTGGTTAATGCTAGGAACTTGTGCTATATCACAAAACAATCATCATTTTCTCTACTTTAATTTGATACCTAAGCGAGCAGAAACTAACGTATTGGTGCTGAGATATGAGCATTTGTTTGAGAGTAAACTTAGACTACGCGACACTTCTATAGAGGGCTTCTATTTATTCGAATATATTTACGGTATTCTAAATATTATTGCAGTGTTTTAATTCAAATAAAGCTAAAGAAAAGAAAAGAAAAGAAAATTCAAAAGAAATATGGGAAAAGCTGGTATTAACCTTAGTAGAGTCAAGTAGAGTCAAATGATGACTTTCGTTGGCAATCTTAGATGCTTAGAGCTATTGCTTTTGTTCCAATGATCTATTTATAACATGGAATCAGCTATCAGTTAAATAACAGTTAAATAATCGATTCGAATTGGCTATTCGAGTCAAATTAAGAGAAAAAGTGGTCAAATTAAGAGAACAAATGTTCAAATTAAGAGTTGGAGAAAGATCAAATGGATTCTTCGATTTCAATTCATGCACTACAGCTTAAATAGAACGCAAAAAGGTTTAACAAGGACATAAAGTTGAATAATCTCTATCAATCTTATCAGATAGGCTGGGGTTCGATCATCGATGATGCCTACACATCGGAAAGAGGAGGGTTGACAGCTAGGAGACATCCCTCGCCTCTTCTTTTAACGTCATCACCTCCAATCATCGCCTCGTCATATATCAAATCATCAAAAAAAGCTCTTTTTACGGAAAATCTACAAGCTTCAGGTCTCTAAGTATTATCTTGTGTGTACTATGTACAATAGTACTTACAGTATGTACTATTGTACACAGATTATACAATACTATGCAGAAAACATTAGAAATACTGCAATTTATTGGGTTGGTGAATTGAAAACTGCAAAACCAAAATGAAAAATGAAATATTGGTCAAAATACGGCTGGAAAAATGCTAGTACAGTAAGACAGACAGAAAGACAGACGGTAAGACAGACAGATACCGTAACCCCCCTCCCCCTTTCTTTTCCGTCATTTCATTTGTGAAAATTTGTAAATTTGGAATTTCTTGAAAACCAGGTTTTGAATCGTTCTGAAAATTTGGATATAAGCTTGATTTTTGATTCTCTACAACTTTTCCATTGACACCAAAATGGGTTTCTTTTGAAGAAAGTCCTCAAACTGTCACATATGACAATAGCCCGCAGTTTTCGATTCATCAACCCAATACTTCTACTAATCACTACTACTATTTACTAGTACGAGCTTGTACTAGTTTTTCTCTAAAAAACATGGGAAGGTCACGTAAAGTCCTGGAATAAAAGTTATAGAATCAAGTTTGCGGCACCAATTGTTCGTCTCGAATTCTCAAGTGAAACTATTTACCGCGAGGGAAATGGCGTAATTTTCACATAAAAGAGATGCTTATTTCAGAACACCCAAATCATTTCGGAAATTGAGTTAATTTAGGGGTTTTGTTTAGAGCTTGTTTTCAACTTGTTTTCAGCTTGGTTTCAACTTGTTTTCAGCTTGTTTAAAGCTCGTTTTCAGCTTGTGTTCAGCTTGTTTAGAGCTTGGTTTGAGCTTGGTTTGAGCTTGGTTTAGAGCTTGGTTTCTGCTTGGTTTGAGCTTGGTTTAGAGCTTGGTTTCTGCTTGGTTTCAGCTTGGTTTCAGCTTGTTTTGAGCACTTAAACTTCTTCAGATTAACTCTCGCTGATCGAGAATATCCAAAATTGAAATTTATCTCTTGAATTTATCTCTTAAACTTTTGCATGCACTTTTCTTCTCAAATCATTCTCACTTTTCTTCTTCTTTTCTTCTCAAATTCTTCTTATAAACTTGAAAAACTAAGAAATCAGGTGCCAATGAAGCTAAATAATTCAAAAAATGCTTTTATGCAAGGACAAAATATTCTCAGCAGTTTTTGTTCCCATTCGATTGCCAGACGTAGCACTGAATTCCCTCGTAGCGATACGCGGGCAAATTGGCGATCACCGAGTTCTTCTCATTCTCGTTGTTAGTGTAGAAATGATCTGGAAAGTGATCTGGAAAGATAGTGAAGCCTCGAGAATGACCAGGTTTTTGAGAAATGAGGTGCAGCTGGACGCGACTGGATTCGACTAGTTCAACTGGACAAATAGCTAACGCACCTTGTGCTTTGCCATCCCAGAAACGGTAAAGTGGGAGTAGACCGGAGCCGGGCGCTGACATACAATATCCCATTGTTCCCTCGAGCTTGTAATGATCGTCCTGCACGGCTTTGTTCATCTCATCAACACTTGTTGTGTAGAAATGATCGCCTAAATTCAGAGATGACCTGATTTGTGGCTTAAATAACAATGGGAGGCCAAAATTTTGGCGCAATGAAATGTGAACATTGAGGCGTTGCTTTTACGTGACTCTATAGCGTCATAATTACCCGATTTACCCGATAGAGTTGAACTACTTACTTGCAAAGGTTGATCAACTTGGGAGGTCTATAACTCGAGGTATAGAAACTAAATCAATTTATGATTGGTTTTAATAGAATCCTCATTAAATTTGACTAAAGAAAAGTCGAATTTCTTTTGTATACTCATTGATAAAAAAATAGAGAAAATTTGTGTCAAAGTTGAACTTCCAAATTCCGTTACGAGTCTCGGAGTTTGGGAACTTTTCGAGTTTACTCTATAACTCGACTTCCAGTAATCAGATCGACTTGAGATTGGTTTTAAAATGATCTTCATCAAATTTGATTATAGAAAAGTGCTATTTATTTTGTACATTCCTTCGTAAGAACATATAAAAAAATTGCGTCAAAGTTGACCTACACACCTGCAGAAGTCGATCAGCTTTGACGGTTTATAACTCAAGGTATCGAAATTGAATCAACTTATGGTTAGTTTTAATAGAATCTTCATTAAATTTGACTAAAGAAAAGTGGAATTTGTTTTGTACATTCCTTGGTAAGAACATAGGGAAAAACAGCGTCAAAGTTGAACTTCCAAATTCCGTTACGAGTCTCGGAGTTTGGGAACTTTTCGAGTTTACTCTATAACTCGACTTCCAGTAATCAGATCGACTTGAGATTGGTTTTAAAATGATCCTCATTAAATTTGGTTATAGAAAAGTACAATTTATTTTGTATATTCCTGTGTAAGAATATATAGAAAAATTGCGTCAAAGTTGACCTACACACCTGCAGAAGTCGATCAACTTTGACGGTTTATAACTCGAGGTACAGACATTGGATTGACTTGTGTTTGGTTTTAATAGAATTCTCCTTAAATTTGACTGAAGAAAAGTGGAGTTTATTTTGTACATTCCTTGGTAAGAACATAGGGAAAAACAGCGTCAAAGTTGACCTACACACCTGCAGAAGTCGATCAACTTTGACGGTTTATAACTCGGCTTCCAGTAATCAGATCGACTTGAGATTGGTTTTAAAATGATCCTCATTAAATTTGGTTATAGAAAAGTACAATTTATCTTGTATACTCATTGTACTCATTGTACTCTTGTACTCTTGTACTCATTGTACTCTTGTACTCTTGTACTCATGTACTCTTGTACTCATGTACTCTTGTACTACAGATTATCATTTGAACTATGATTTGCATTGAGTCCTTTTGGGTTTTAGTATGTATGAAGTGAATTCTATGAAAAGAAAATATGAAAATGTGCTCCCACTTGCCGAGTCCGACCACATTCGATACAGTGGCACAATGCCCGGACAATCGCAATCCTTAGACGTTCCAATGAAACCCATTTGAGCTAAAAGTTTGTTTTCAGTGTTTGACTGACCGGAAAAACCTTCAATAGCATAACCAGAATTGACCGCATTCTCCTGTTCAACAGCACTGACTGTATAGAAGTGATCAGCCGCTTTCTCATTCCACGAGCGAAGAAGAGGCGTCAAGGGAGGGCCTGACAAAAGTTATTAGCCTCGACAAAAGTTATTAAGTTCAACAGAAAGTCCCTTTTTTGAACAACGCTTTCTCAGTAATCAATCCATGAAACTTTCTAAGAATTTAAGCCATTATTAAGTGAATACTTAGCCTTCTCTGTGTAAATTTTCAGCTCAATCTCACAAATAGATACTGAGAAATGGACTGTATTATGAAAGTGGTCATTTTTTTGATCTTTTCGCTGTCTACTCTAGAAACTTTTTATGCTTTCCAGCTAGCTCTTTTATTATTTAGTTTGATTATTTAGTTTGATTATTTAATAAATACAATCTTTAAGCATTAAAATAAAAGAAAAAGTCCAGCTAAGAGAAGCAGTATAACTATTTTAGTCGACCTCCCCAATTTGACCTTAAATTTGACCTAAACTACTTTTCCAGTTATCAAAATTTACTCAAGAACTAACCTTGATAATAATAAAGCTATAATAGTATAAGATAATATAATCTACTATGTATAAAGCAGAAGAAGAGTCTGTTCGTCTGTTCGTCTGTGCGCAGCCATTGGCAAAAACGGGGGGGGCTTAGATTGCGTGGCAAACCCGAACGTTAGTGAACGTTTTTCGCTGGTATAATATAATATAATATATAATAAAGTCCTGTAAAACTTAAACCTAGTAAGCAACTTTTCAATACAAAAATCTTTGACTCATTTCATTTTTGAGAATTTAGAAGAAATTGAAGTTTTTTGGGACGTCGTGATATGTAATGGGACGATTTGCAACGGGACGACGGGCAATGGACGGGAATGGACGACGGGCAATGGACTGGCAATGGACTGGCAATGGATGGGCAATGGATGGGCAATGGACGGGAATGGACGGGCAATGGACGGGCAATGGACTGGCAACGGGACGACGGGATGGGCAATGGACGGCAATGGACGGCAATGGACGGCAATGGACGGCAATGGACGGCAATGGACACCGGCCAACGGGACACCGGCCAACGGGACACCGGCCAACGGGACACCGGCCAACGGGACACCGGCCAACGGGACACCGGCCAACGGGACACCGGCCAACGGGACACCGGCCAACGGGACACCGGCCAACGGGACGTCTCGTTGCGTCGTGACATCCCCTTGCAATCACGACGCGTCGTGCTGCACTTACCGATTTCAAAAAAGGAAAAATTGAGGCTTATCATGAATACAAACTGAGTAATCGAGAAATCACAAAAAAACTAGCCGCTCGCCTACTGTGATTGACAATTTTGTTAGCTTTGGTGCTTCATATGGAACTAAGAAAACGACTGGCCAGAGACCTATCATTAAAATGAAACGTTTGTTATAGCTCTTTGAAAATAACTCTATAAATTGGAAAAGTTAACCGAAAAACGAAAGTTAATGGAAAGTTAATTGAAAGTTAACCGTTTGCTTTAGCTTGAGCCAACAAAGATAGTAGAGCCAACAAAAATATGACAAGCTTTCTCATTTGGAATCGAAAAATTGATGGAGATTTCTTTTTCAATAACTTTTTTTGATTCTATATATAGCAAAAGATAGGTAGATTGAGAAAACGTTGAGAAAACTTTAAGAAAACTTTAGAAAACTTTGAGAAAACTTTAGAAAACTTTGAGAAAACTTTAGAAAACATTTTATTACTCAATTTCTATCAAAAAAAATACTCTTTTATGACTGTTTTATGATTCATTATGATTCATTATGACTATTTATTTACAAAAATGATTCAAAAGTTTGAGAAAACTTTGAGAATACTAGAGAAACCTTGGAGAAACCTTTGAGAATACTTTACTACGTTTTGAGATGGAGAAAACATACGCTTACTCAAATCGTTTACTCAAATCGTTTACTACATACGTTTACTACATACGTTTACTACATACGTTTACTACATACGTTTACTACATACGTTTACTACATGCGTAAAACATACGTTTACTCAAATCATTGCAACTTTCCTCGATAAGCACAAAAGAGAAAGCCAATGATGGCAAGAAAATGAGCACATCGATCAAAGATTTCATTAGGACAAATTCAGATTAAAGATGGTTTCTAATAGTTTCTAACACTTGATGATAGGTTCTAAAATCATTTAAATACTGAACAGAACTTGCAAACAGGTGAAGCTGTTAAGCTGATAAGCAAACCAATGCAACAGCAACAGCAAAAACAAAAAACAAGAACCCTAAAATGAAAATAGGATAAGAGTAAGCAGCTTATCCCTTAGCTTTTTTGTTATTTGAATAGGTCAAGAGAACAAACAGGCTCGCATCTGATGGCTTTGATCATAATAGGCCTGACCTATTATGATCAAAGCCATCAGAGCTGGCTTTAGAGCTGACTTTTCCTTTTTCTCCGTTTGATGCTTTTGAATCTTCTTTAAAACTTAGGTCGAATCAAGGGCGAATCGAAATGATTCCACAATTCCCACTAGGAAATGAGTTCAATGCCCGTTCAATGCCCGTTCAATGCCCGTTCAATGCCCGTTCAATGCCCGTTCAATGCCCGTTCAATGCCCGTTCAATGCCCGTTCAATGCCCGTTCAATGCCCGTTCAATGCCCGTTCAATGCCCGTTCAATGCCCGTTCAATGCCCGTTCAATGTCCACAAAATCAAATCCAGCTAACCATTAGCGTTCTACTACAGAAAGCAAGAATATTGGATGTGTTTAGTTTCATTTAATGATGTCATCTTTCATGATGATCTTATACATTCGACGGTTTCAGGTCAAATCAAAGAGTCGGGTTGTCAAATGTCAATCAAAGTTGGGTTGTCAAATGTCAATCAAATTCCAGGCCAAGCCCAATTGAAAGCCATTGACTTTGGCTTGGCTTGGCTATAACAACCCTACTTTTGAATAGCTGTAATTGACTTCAATGACGCTAATTTTGACTCCAATTTGTTTTTGACCTACCTTGACCATATTTTCAGCTTTTAGAACAACCCTAACTATGCTTTTGCCTCATGTGAGTCACCAAAAAGCTGCCACAATCGAATAAGACACCACAAATACCGTACCCTAAACAATGTCGCGCTCAAACGCGTATAAAAGGACACCACTTCGGGTATACCTTCAAGCACTAGTATATGATCGATCTTCATTTCACGAGCCAGTCCAATATCGTGATTGAAAGCGGAAGGCATCTATCAGGAGGATGGAAAGGATGCATCACGTTCGAATTAATCACTAAGTTGATATGCAGGCTAGGCAAAATCATTGAGAAGAGTAGAGCGGCAGAGTAACTCGGCGCAACCTCAAACTTGGGTAATTAATAATAATAATAATAATAATAATAATAATAATAATAATAATAATAATAATAATAATAATAATTCCGTGCGACACTGAGCATTGTTTCCTTGAGCTTCGTCGTAACATTCGTTTCCTATATTGATCTAATACGGTTCCAATATTGATCTAATACGGTTCCTATTGGGTTGGGGGAGAATGAGTCGGCGCCGAAAATCAAAGAAATTTCTAAAACTTATAGCAGACTTTGTCAAATGATATGCGTTTGATATCCGTAGAAGGGTAACTAATTCTCTTTAAGATTAAGAAACGTATTTTTTTCGATACAAACCTGAATATAATAGCAAAAATCCAAGGTATCGTTGTAGATCCATCCAGGTTGACATTGAGAATCTTCTGTAAATGATTTGGTGATAAAAATTAGACTAACAAGACTCACTGATCTCCACAGTACAAAAGTAGGGGTTTAGGCAACGTGCATTCACTCGACTTCCACAAGCCAGTTGTTGGGCTCATGATAGCACAGAGATCCTGATTCGATGTCGAGGTGGGCTCGCCTAAAAGTAGCTTGTCAGTTTGTTATTCAAACGCTAGCAATAAAGCTCTTAATCTTGAGCTTAATCTGTTCATTTACTTGCTCTATTTATCTGGCTGATCCAAACGTTCCTGTACAACCTTTTACTCACCCTATACATTAGACTGGGCAGAATGCTCAATCACGACTACGACTGGGTTTTTGGCCTAGTATTTTTTTGCACTTAATGCTCCTCATTTCTCATAGTGTCGCTCTAGAATTTGGGTTACCGCGCTGAGAATATCAATATTTTTGACAATTATCACCGGCGTTTGTGAAACCTGCTTAAATTTTGCGGCACATGAAAGGCGCAAAGTTCGATTCATATTGGGTTGGGGAGAATGAGTCGGCGCCGAAAATCAAAGAAATTTCTAAAAATTATAGCACACTTTGTCAAATGATATGCGTTTGATATCCGTAGAAGGGTAACTAATTCTCTACAAAATAATATTAGGTTGTTAACCCAAAAAGGGCGCTTTTTGCGTATGACCGTTTTAAAACTATAACAATTTATTTCAACAACATATAATTAAACAATGTAATCTCCGCGTTTGGTTTTGACATTCATCCATCTTTTTGGAAGTTTCTTAAGTCCTTTCTCGAAAAAATCGGCATTTTTTGAAACCAAAAAGTCGTCGATAGCGTCCCGTACCTCAGCTTCGGTCTTGAAACTTTTTCCCCGAAACTTTTGAAACCATTTTTGGGCTGTGCGAGTAGTCACAACTTTGAATCCATAAAAATCGTTGATTTCCCGAGCTGATTCGGCGGCAGATTTGTGTTGTTGATAGCGATGGTGCAAATCCTTGTGCCATACTTCCGGGGTGGGTCGATTTGTTGTTGGCATTGCTCCCGAGAATCGAAACCTAAACCAAAATATTTGATTAAAAATTGTAAAAAGTTATTAGAAAAACAAGAAAAACAAAGAAAATCTTGAATGCTATCTTTGTAATTATTCCAAAAACCTTCATGCACAAAAAGCGCCGTTTTTGGGTTAACAACCTAATATTTAAAAGAGAACTCAAACAGCGCCTCAACTCAACAAAGGATCATTTTTCCCACAAAATCGATAAACTGTCATCTAGAGTAAACGGTTGGAGGGATCTTCCTGAAAATTTGGTAACTTACGTAATTGAGTGTGCTCTATCTTTTTTATATAAACACCAAAGGAGGTTTATGTGGAAGAAACTGTTCAAGAAATGAGTCGGACTTTTTGTCATTTTGATTAGCTTTGTTTGGGAATCCATAAAATCCCAAAAAAGAAAAGCTTTGTGGAATCTCTCAAAAGCCATTTTGTAAAGAAATAGTGGACCATTTTTGATGAAACAAAACGTATGTTTAAAGAAGGCTTTATGTGTGCAAAAAGTCCCTTTAAAGTTGGGCGCCGACTCATTCTCCCCAACCCAATAGATTGAATTTAATTTTTAAATTTTTTTAATTTGTAAAATTAAAGAAGGGTTAACTCTTGATTGAATGGAAATAATTCTTTCTCTTGTTATTCGATTCAAGCAAAACCGGTCACAGATTTCGGGACCCAATCCTGAACCCCCCTTTTTAAAGGAAATCTTAACACAAAGTCATTTGAAATACAAAGCTTAAAATAGCTTAAAATAGCTCAAATACCAAATATTGAAAAAAGTTTCAGTATAGAAAACTTGATCGAATCGTAAAATAGTTTATTTTTTTTGTTCATTTTCTCTGAGTGAGATTCTCGAAGAGATTCTCGTCTCTGTCTTTTTTTTTCAATAGAGACTTTTTTTGTCTCTTTGAGCAATTTCAAATGAAATGACCGAGCAATTTCAAATGAAAAGAAACCGGGATTTCTCTCGGATCTCCACTAACTCTTGATCGCCTTTTTTTTTGCTTTGTGAATCAGCTAGTTTATTCGATCATTTGTTTTCTCGAAAACTTGAACAATTTAAAAGAGATTCTATCGAGGATTCACTTATTTTTGTCTTTGCTTTGTCCTTTCTTTGTCCTTGCTTTGTCTTTGCTTGGTCTTTGCTTGGTCTTTGCTTTGTCTTTGCTTTGTCTTTCCTTTGTCTCTCCTTTGTCTTTTCTTTGTCTTTGCTTGGTCTTTTCTTTATCTTTCCTTTGTCTTTTCTTTGTCTTTGCTTTGTCTTTGCTTGTCCTTGCTTTGTCCTTGCTTTGTCTTTGCTTGCCCTTGCTTTGTCTTTGCTTTGTCTTTGCTTGGTCTTTGCTTTGTCTTTTCCTTGTCTTTTCCTGGTCCTTGCTTGGTCCTTGCTTTGTCTTTGATTGGTCTTTGCTTTGTCTTTGCTTGGTCTTTGCTTTGTCTTTTCCTTGTCTTTTCCTTGTCTTTGCTTTGTCTTTGCTTTGTCTTGGCTTTGTCTTTCCTTTGTCTTTGCTTTGCCTTTGCTTTGTCTTTGCTTTGTCTTTTCTTTGTCTTTGCTTTGTTTTTCCTTTGTCGTTTCTTTGTCTTTGCTTGTCCTTGCTTTGCCTTTGCTTTGTCTTTGCTTTAGCTTTATAGCTGTGCAATTTCTTGTCTTGATCTACTTTGTGTTCAAAAGCCGTAAACTTACCATTTCTAGCACACCAAACACTTCATTTTCCCATAGCGATAAGCTGGTGAAAAAACGAGGAATCAAGTGTGCGAGAAAAGATGCGTTTCTACATTTTTAACACATTCGCGACGATTTTGGACTCTTTTTTGAGGCCGATTAGCTCTAATTTTTCACCACGGAGGTTTTCGGGGTCAAATAATTCGAATTCGTAGTTGGTTTTTCAAGAAAATTGCTCTATTTTTGGATATTTTTGGATATTTCATCCGGTTCAACGACCCAAGTCACACCCAGGGCCATTTGCTTTCTTTTTAAGGCAATTTCGGTTGGTTTTCGAGCAAATTCGAGAGTGAAAAGGTGGTTTATAATCGATAAAAACCCAAGATAAAGTCAGGAATCGATCGTTGAGGGGATTTCGAGGGAAGAGGGCCTTATTGGAGGGATCTGGAGGGATCTACCCCTTCTCCCGCTGCCCTTCTCCCGCTGCACGCCCGCCTCTCCCCCGCCTCTCCCCCGTTTGACCCCAAACCCCCTAATTAGCGCTTTTCTCGGCTTTATGATGAGAATTGGACATTCATTTAGCCAATAAATATTCTTTTCTTGGCTTTTATTTCTTAGCTCTTGTCCTTTGATAGATTCTTGGAACAGTGCTCTGCTCCAGTCTGGTTCTAGATTGCCTTTAAC